ATCCGTCCATCCATCCATCACTGTATCCATCCATCCATCCATCCATCACTGTATCCATCCATCCATCACTGTATCCATCCATCCATCCATCACTGCATCCATCCATCCATCCCTGTATCCATCCATCCATCCATCACTGTATCCATCCATCCATCCATCACTGTATCCATCCATCCATCCATCACTGTATCCATCCATCCATCCATCACTGTATCCATCCATCCATCCATCACTGTATCCATCCATCACTGTATCCATCCATCCATCCATCACTGTATCCATCCATCCATCCCTGTATCCATCCATCCATCGCTGTATCCATCCATCCATCCATCCCTGTATCCATCCATCCATCCATCCATCACTATCCATCCATCCATCCCTGTATCCATCCATCCATCCATCACTGTATCCATCCATCCATCCATCCCTGTATCCGTCCATCCATCCATCACTGTATCCATCCATCCATCCATCCATCACTGTATCCATCCATCCATCACTGTATCCATCCATCCATCCATCACTGCATCCATCCATCCATCCCTGTATCCATCCATCCATCCATCACTGTATCCATCCATCCATCCATCACTGTATCCATCCATCCATCCATCACTGTATCCATCCATCCATCCATCACTGTATCCATCCATCACTGTATCCATCCATCCATCCATCACTGTATCCATCCATCCATCCCTGTATCCATCCATCCATCGCTGTATCCATCCATCCATCCATCCCTGTATCCATCCATCCATCCATCCATCACTATCCATCCATCCATCCCTGTATCCATCCATCCATCCATCACTGTATCCATCCATCCATCCATCCCTGTATCCGTCCATCCATCCATCACTGTATCCATCCATCCATCCATCCATCACTGTATCCATCCATCCATCACTGTATCCATCCATCCATCCATCACTGCATCCATCCATCCATCCCTGTATCCATCCATCCATCCATCACTGTATCCATCCATCCATCCATCACTGTATCCATCCATCCATCCATCACTGTATCCATCCATCCATCCATCACTGTATCCATCCATCCATCACTGTATCCATCCATCCATCCCTGTATCCATCCATCCATCCATCACTGTATCCATCCATCCATCCCTGTATCCGTCCATCCATCCATCACTGTATCCATCCATCCATCACTGTATCCATCCATCCATCCCTGTATCCGTCCATCCATCCATCACTGTATCCATCCATCCATCCATCACTGTATCCATCCATCCATCCATCCATCACTGTATCCATCCATCCATCCATCCCTGTATCCATCCATCCATCCCTGTATCCATCCATCCATCCATCCATCCATCCATCACTGTATCCATCCATCCATCCATCCATCCCTGTATCCATCCATCCATCCATCCATCACTGTATCCATCCATCCATCCCTGTATCCATCCATCACTGTATCCATCCATCCATCCATCCATCCATCCATCCATCCCTGTATCCATCCATCCATCCCTGTATCCATCCATCCATCCATTCCTGTATCCATCCATCCATCCCTGTATCCATCCATCCATCACTGTATCCATCCATCCATCCATCACTGTATCCATCCATCCATCCCTGTATCCATCCATTCATCCATCACTGTATCCATCCATCCATCCCTGTATCCATCCATCCATCACTGTATCCATCCATCCATCACTGTATCCATTAGGGGTGCGCCAAAATATCGATATGGCGATATATCACGATATTTACTCCCGCGATCGATTCTCGATGCGCTCTTGCCAAGTATCGATCTTAAAAGCCGTTATAAAACGCTCTATTCATTATCCGAGTTGACTGGATTTGACTAGCTTTCATGAGGCACACACGCAAAGTCTCTCGCTCTCTCCCTCTCTGCCGCGCTATGTATGTTATGCGCGCAGTAGGCTGTTCTGTCTCGCATGCGCGCTCTAGATTCCGGGAGATTTGAACTAATTTGCGGGCATCAGGGAGACGCTATCATTATGCGGGAGACTCCCGGAACTTCCGGGAGACTTGGGATGTCTGGCTTCGCAAAAGTCCGCAAAACGGGAAACACGACCACATGTACAGACACCTCACGCGGCATCACCCGGAGCTCTGTGAGAAAGCCGTGGTTGGTGCTGGCTCGAAGCCGACACACCCCGGCGTAAACATTTTTATTACTACTGATTGCAGCAATGTTACACTAAAATAGTGTCTGTGACTGTTTTGTTGCAACTGATAAGACACAAGTTGTTTTTGTTATTGTGTTTCATCCCAAAAAATAAATGGAGATTAATATTCCTAATTAAAAAAAAATTTTATTTCTTAAAACATGATATATTGTGAGTTATTACTGATAATATGTAGATTATCGCAGTATCGCCCAGTATCGCCATATCGTGATATTATCGGTATCGTGAACAATGTATCGCATATCGTATCGTATCGTGAAGTACCCAGCGATTCCCAGCCCTAGTATCCATCCATCCATCTCTGTATCCATACATCCATCTCTGTATCCATCCATCCATCCATCCATCCATCCCTTTATCCATCCATCCATCCATCCCTGTATCCATCCATCCATCCATCACTGTATCCATCCATCCATCCATCCCTGTATCCATCCATCCATCCATCCATCCATGTATCCATCCATGTATCCATCCATCCATTCCTGTATCCATCCATCCATCCATCCATCACTGTATCCATCCATCCATCACTGTATCCATCCATCCATCACTGTATCCATCCATCCATCCATCACTGTATCCATCCATCCATCCATCACTGTATCCATCCATCCATCCATCACTGTATCCATCCATCCATCCCTGTATCCATCCATTCATCCATCACTGTATCCATCCATCCATCCCTGTATCCATCCATCCATCCCTGTATCCATCCATCCATTCCTGTATCCATCCATCCATCCCTGTATCCATCCATCCATCACTGTATCCATCCATCCATCACTGTATCCATCCATCCATCTCTGTATCCATCCATCCATCACTGTATCCATCCATCCATCCCTGTATCCATCCATCCATCCATCCATCCATCCATCCCTGTATCCATCCATCCATCCATCCCTGTATCCATCCATCCATCCCTGTATCCGTCCATCCATCCCTGTATCCATCCATCCATCCATCACTGTATCATCCATCCATCCCTGTATCCATCCATCCATCCATCCCTGTATCCATCCATCCATCCATCACTGTATCCATCCATCCATCCATCCATCACTGTATCCATCCATCCATCCATCACTGTATCCATCCATCCATCCATCACTGTATCCATCCATCCATCCATCACTGTATCCATCCATCCATCCCTGTATCCATCCATCCATCCATCCCTGTATCCATCCATCCATCCATCACTGTATCCATCCATCCATCCCTGTATCCGTCCATCCATCCCTGTATCCATCCATCCATCCATCCCTGTATCCATCCATCCATCCCTGTATCCGTCCATCCATCCCTGTATCCGTCCATCCATCCCTGTATCCATCCATCCATCCTTTACTGTATCCATCCATCCATGCCTATATCACTGTATCTATCCATCCATCCATCCATCCCTGTATCCATCCATCCATCCATCCCTGTATCCATCCATCCCTGTATCTGTCCGTCCGTCAGTGAGGCTATGTAGGGCGTAGGCAGCTCATTAGGTTTGATAACTGAAGCTGTTAGGTCTAGTTTAAATGCTCGACGCGTGTGTAATGATCAGACTCTGTGCGTGTAAGCGCTACTGACAGCGTCTTTAACTTCAGTCTTCTTTAATCGCTTTAAACAGACACTCGTGGAAACCTTACACTGAAATCACCTCCTCCGCCACAGAGTCTCGCTGAAGGGCACGATTAAACATTCAGAGCGGATCCACGGACATCCGAATCAATCTCACGCTTTCAGAGAGAGCCGGAGCGCGCCGGAGACAAAGAAAGATGTTCCGGACTGTCATTTGATCCTTCAGGTGAAAGAAAATAATGGAAATTTCCTCGCAGGTCATGAATAGCGCGCCTGTAATGATGTCGGCCTCTTCATGAAGCCAAACCTCGGGTTCTGAGAATCAATCGCTGTTGAAGAAATTACAGAAGCTTTATCTATCGGGTTTATCTGCTCTGTTAGGCAGAACTTGGCGCCCGACGCAGGGACAGACGGTTTAATCAGCAGAAATTACAGGTTGAAGAGATGATTAGTTGTATGGAGCTTTCCAGGTGTAATTATCGCATCTGGATCAGTGAAGGTCGTGCCGTTATGAACAGAAACTGCCTGCGCTGCAAGCGTATCATTAACTTAAATGAAAACCATTAAACACATTTTTGTTCATTCAAATAAAGCTGAAATCTGCTTATGAGAAACATCTAACAATCTTGCATCATATGCACTTCATGCACGATGTGTTTGTGTGTCAAGCATGGAAACGTGTGCATCACTCATGTCGCTTTATAGTGATGAATATACAGTCCAACCAAAATATATTCACACTCCTTCAACTTTTATCAGTTTATTCGCTATAGTTTAGAAAATGGTAATAAAATATGAGCAGAACTCAGTGGATATTTGACTGGTTTTGTCCGTCCTTCTGTTAGACTCTCACACATGAATTATGTTGAATATCTGTCAGCTGTTGAATTTAACTACACAATTAGATAATACCAGTTTAGCTCAACCAGTGACCAAGCAATGCTTCATGTTGTTCAGTCTGTGTGTAAAAAGAGCATTAGCAGTTACAGAAAACACACTTCAGCAAAACATGATCAGCTCAAAGTGGAGGAATCATGTTTTATCCCAGATTTCACTGTATGAAGACTATTTGGGTATAATATGTCACAGTTTACTTTATTTTGCGATCCTCACTTACATAAATGAACTATAGTGTCCTGCACACACTAGTAAACATATAATAATGATATCTGGTGTGTGAATAATGTTGTTTGACCGTAGCTGCTCTGTTGTGTCTCAGGTCGTGTCCTGCGCCTGAAGATGTTTCGTGAGGATCACGGCTCTTGGATGACCATGTTTTTCAGCACGATTCTCTCGCTCTTCATCTTCTCTCACATTTATAACCTCCTTCTGCTCATGAACGGACAGATGGGGTAAGAGATATCGTCTACATTCATTTAATTAGAAGAGACTTTTTGAAAAGAGTTATTCCTTCATTTGCTCTTGGCAGTCATCAGGAATTTAACGATTTCTAGCTCTTTATGTCCCTTTATGATTCTTTTATGCTTTTTTAGGAAGCACCCAATAATTGGTCATAACCATTAGTAGTGTCAGTATAGTAATGACTTGTGAATCACTAAATGAGTCCAGAACCGCTGATTGATTCGAACAGAAACTGAGCGGTTCAAATCTCTGAGTGTGTTTGAGTGATTCATGACTCGTTTTGAGTGAATCCATTAAACGAACTGGCAGATTTGTTTGTTCGTAAATCAGGCTACATGATAACGAGTTCAAGCATGATTTGTGAGTGTTTTTGAAAGATTTACTGTAATATATAAATAAAAAAGCACCAAAATAATATATCTAAAAAAAAATATATATATTTGTGGTAGGGCTGTCAAACGATTAATCGCGATTAATCGCATCCAAAATAAAAGTTTGTGTTTACATAATATATGTGTGTGTACTGTGTATAATTATTTTTAATACATAAATACCCACACATGCATGTGTATTTAAGAAATATTTGCATGTATATACTGTATATAAACTGAATGTAGCCTATATATAATGTATATTTTATATAAATATAAACATTTTATATATAAATAACATATTTTTCTTAAATATATACATCTGTGCATTTATATACAAAATAATTATACACAGTACACACACATATATTATGTAAACACAAACTTTTATTTTGGATGCTGTTACGGCCAGCTCGTTTCGACCGTACATAAAGGGATACAAGTACAAGAAAATTACTTGCAAGAAGTTTTATTAGCTTACAACAAAAGTGTAAACAACTTAAGATAACAAAGTCTAGGGTTCAAAATCATAAGGGGACAAAATCATAATCCAGATGGGGAATAAGAAAAAGGTTGGTATGGTCTGTAAACAAATATAAATGTCGCAAGAACAAGTGACTCCTCCAGAGGCTGCCAATCCCCTGGACGAAGTGGCGTGGAGAGGGTGGAATCCAAGGTTTTATCCTCTCCACAATCAAATCGAAAGCAGGTAACAGGAGTGTGCGATCTCCCACGCCCTCCTGAAGAACACCGCCCCCAGCAGGCGAGCAAGGGAAACGCAGGGTCGTAACACCTCCCTACAAAAAAAAATTATTCGGCAACGAATCTAAAACACAAAACAAAAGGAAAAAACAGTTAAGCACTACCCAGAACAAACACAATAAAAGTTCTGGTGATCTAGAGGTATGTCGTCTTCTCTTCATTCCTCAACACCTCTGGGCCCTAGAGATGCAAAGAAAAGAACGGACAATACAAAAATTACGTTACACTCTAGACAGTGCGTCAGCTATAACGTTGTCTTTTCCTCGAATATGTTTGATCTCGAGATGGAAAGGTTGTAAAATAAGACTCCATCGCATGAGTCGCTGATTTCTATTTCTCATCCGATTCAAAAAGACCAAAGGATTATGATCCGTATAGATAATAATCGGTGCAGCAATTGATCCTAGATATATTTCAAAATGTTGAACAGCCAACACTAGCGCAAGAGCTTCTTTCTCAATGGTAGAATATACCTGTTGATGTCGGTTAAGTTTCTTAGAAAAGTAACTTACAGGATGTTGAACCTGGTTCGAGTTCTCCTGCAGGAGAACAGCACCCGTACCACAAGCACTTGCATCTATTGCAAGAATAAAAGGCTTGGCAAAGTTTGGAGCTGTTAAAACAGGGGCACACGCCAGCAAAGCCTTGCAATTTTCGAAAGCTTGCTGACAAGGTTCAGTCCACTGGAAAGACAACTTCGGACTCAATAAATCGGTAAGAGGTGAAACTACGCTGGCAAAATTTTCGCAAAAACTCCGATAATATCCCACCATTCCAAGGAACCGTCGGAGTTCACGACGAGTGGTGGGAGCGGGAAAATTACAGATAGCTTCGACCTTAGTCTCAATGGGTCTTACACAACCATTTCCCACTATCTTACCTAAATAGGTAACGGTTGCCTTCGCGAATTCGGACTTAGCGAGATTAACCGTAAGATTAGCTTTGGCTAAACGAGAAAACAGTTCTTTGATCTGGTCAAGATGTTCAGACCAAGATGAACTATACAACACAATGTCGTCAAGATATGCCTCACATCCTGACATTCCATACAGTATAGGGTTTACGAGTCGCTGAAAAGTCGCAGGTGCATTTCGAACCCCGAAAGGCATAACCGTATACTGTAGGAAAGCATCAGGCGTAACGAAAGCAGATAATTCCTTCGCCCGACTAGTCAAAGGCACCTGCCAATACCCCTTCAAGAGGTCGAATTTGCTGACATAACAGGCAGAGCCAACATGATCGATGCAATCATCAATTCGAGGTAACGGGAAGCAGTCCGGCTTTGTCAGATTATTAAGTTTCCGATAATCTGTGCAGAAGCGATATGAGCCATCAGGTTTATTTACTAAAACACAAGGAGAACTCCACGAACTGAAACTAGATTCAGCCAGATTATGAGCAAGCAGATAATTCACCTCTTGTTTCAGCAAATCTCTTTTAATAGGATTGACTCGATAGGCGTTCTGTTTAACGGGACATGAGGTTCCTACATCTATATCATGTTCTATGATAGAGGTGCGACCAGGAACATCAAGGAAAAGAAAGGGAAATGATACCACCAACTCAGTGACATCACTCCTCTCTTTCTCCGTCAAATAAAAAAGATGAGACGACAGGTTAAAAAGAATCTCAGAGTTTTTAAGTCGCCCGTCAACTTTTTCTCGAGAAAGAAAACCCTCGTCCTCATCAGCATTCTCCAAAGAATACCCACTCGTTTTGTGAGAGAGAGGAGATGATTCTGAAAGAGAGTCACAAATGTTTACCACATTAACAGTCACAGAATGAACAGGAGCTGTATACAATTTCAACAGGTTACTGTGACAAACTTGTACATTTTTCCTCTGGTCAGGAGTATTCAACAGATAATTGTTATCAGAAAGACGTTTAACTACACTGTAAGGGCCTGTAAATTTAGCTTGGAACGGATTAGCAGGTAGGGACAGCAAAGCGAGTACTTGATCACCCACCTGAAATTCTCTTAACTTAGCTTTCCTATCAAAGCGTTGTCGCATCTTTAGTTGAGTCTTACTCAACTTCTTTTTAGCGAGAGCTCTTGCCTCATATAATCTACGCCGAAATCCGCTCACATAATCCGAAATGTTTTCAGACAGTTTAGGCATACGCCACTCCTCAGCTAACACAGCCGTAGGTCCTCTCACTACATGTCCGAACACCAATTCATTCGGGCTAAACCCAAGACTTTCTTGGATTACCTCACGTATCGCTAATAACATCCACGGCAGACCTTCTTCCCAATCCGCATCGAGTTCCACACAATATGACCTTAATAGGGACTTCAGGGTTTGATGAAACCTCTCAAGGACTCCTTGACTCTGCAGATGATAAGCGCTAGAAATATTGTGGTTTACTCGAAGTTGACGCAGGGCTTTTGAGAACTGTTTCGACATGAAGTTCGAACCCTGATCGGACTGAATGACTTTAGGAATTTCAAAGGTCGACATGAAATTAGTGAGGGCCTTCAAGACAGATTTAGTAGTAATGGACCTTAACGGATAAGCAGCCGGATAACGAGTAGTCTGACACATAACGGTTAAAAGGTATTGGTGACCAGTCTTGGACTGAGGCAAAGGACCAACACAGTCAACTACCAAATGTTCAAAAGGAGTGGACACGACGGAAATAGGTTTCAACTGAGCAACAGGAACTTTTTGGTTTGGCTTACCGGTGATCTGGCATGTATGACAAGATTGAATATGTTTTGCCACATCTTGTTTCACCTTAGGCCAATAGAACTGTCGTAAGACCCGATCATACGTTTTACGAACTCCGGTATGGCCAGCAAGTCCCTGATGAGCTAAATGCAACACAGAGTCCCTCACTGTAAAAGGAACCACAATCTGAGTTTTAGGTTCTAGAGAAACATCTTTACGCAGGACCACTGTCCGACAAAGCAACCCATCTTCAAGAAAGTACGAAGAGGAGAGAGGATCAGAACACTTCTTAGACCCTACTGCAGAAAATAAAGGTCTAAGACTGTCATCACTTTGTTGAGCTCGAATTAAATCCTCTCGAGAAATCTGCAACAAAGAAGCCAAAGAGTAGTCATCACCATCAGAGAGATCAACATTGGTTTTCTCAGGAGTGGACAGAACCTGAGATGTATCCGCAGAGTCACTTTGCAGCGCTGTCGAATCTCTCTGATCAGAAGACAACGAAGAGCAGGACTTCAGGTCTCTTTGCCCAAGACATTTAGACACATCAGATCCTGACTCACCTGTATTAACAGTATAAAAGAAGGTGTCATGCAGTGGAACTTCAACTTGACTTTCAGATAATCGTTTAGCCATTGATCGAGTAACTGCACATGCTGGAAACAAATCAGGAAATTCTTTGCCATTTCCAACATCAGTTTTACTAGGTATTGAAGCTATTATGGGCGGAGCGGCCACATCACTCCGTCCCCAAACATTCCCACCAGCTAAATCATTTCCCAGAATAAATGTAATATTTATCCACTTCCTTTTCAGAAAATGGCGGCACTAACCTCATATTTCTGTGAACATCAAACACAGGTTCACCTGCATTCGCATGCTGTTGTGGAACAGGAGGCACATTCGCTTGTGAAGCTTCAGCTGTCTTTGCTGCTAATTCTAACTCCAACTTTTTTATCTCAAATGCTCTCTCGTCACGTTCCCTCTCTAACTGAAGCGTTCTCTCGTCACGTTCCCTCTCTAACTGAAGCGTTCTCTCTTCACGTTCCTTCTCTAACTGAAGCGTTCTCTCTTCTAAATCAAGCTCCATTTTCCTCATAGCTAACTGATGATTTAATTTTCTCTCTTCGAATTCTCTCTCTACCGCTCGCTCTTTCACAGCGCGATCATCACGTTCAGCACGAA